ATGAATTCTGCTAAATATAAAGACAGAACTCCCTGAAGGATTTTGTCCCTTTGCCTGTTAGTGTATTTTACCTAGTGTGTCTTCACTGTGGTGGCTGTTTTGAACTGCGTGGTCCTAAAATGTGCAATGTCAAACTTTGGGTTATTCATGGTGTGCTTCATTCTGTTGTGGAATTTTCATAAATCATTGTATTCACAATTTTTTTTTTCATCAGCTACCAGCACAGCTATTACAACTAGCCTGATGAGCTATGTGATGTGCACACTGTTGATTAGATGCTTCACGTTACTTCGTATTATTAAATAATTTGGGAAGAAACAATACAATTTCTTCCGTGCATTAAATTTGATCATGGTGTGCCTGTTACACTGCTTTTGAGTCAGAAATAAATACCACAGCTGCCTTCAAGCCAGTATTTATATAGACTTGTTTCAGCATTATGTGAATAGAAACTCTGTTTCGCACATTAATGACAAAGTCACGTGAATGAGCATTAAGTTCAAGGAGGTCAGATTCATGTTATAGTTCAAAGATGCTCTCTACCTCAGTAAATGTTTAACTAGCTGTTTAAACTAAAGTCTTGGCTCTACTTACACGTTTGCTAGGGTAGATTAGTATTAGAAAAACCTCTCTTGTAGAGGTGCAGCTTGCCAAGGATTTCTTGAATCCATGTACCTGAAAATAATAAGCTCTGCCAGCTGAAGATTATTTTTTGCCAAAATAACTGCATGTTACTGCAGCATTTGCCAACAAAGCTGTATTGACCAGCAATAGGGAAGGAGTTTGTGTATAAAAAAATTATACCACTAATCAACAGAGCTATATTCAGAAGAATCCAGGGTCTAGGAAGTCCTAAGTTTTACATTAGTGGCAGCGGCTTAATTTTTTTACAGGTGATGACTGTAAAGAGTAGCTAATATTATGAGTGTACTTTAAAATTTCTGGACCAAGTATACATTTATTGTTGATTTCGGACTGCTTTTCTTGATATTTTTAAGGTGGTTTCTTTTTTATAATTTAGATTAAAAACTACAGTCTGTATGGTAGGACTAAATAAATGGTAGGTTCATAATAGGATTTTCAGATATTTCATAAACTTTTGTGTTGATGTGTGGGTCACATCCTAATTGAGTTAAAGCAGTCATTCCTATGAAAACTGTAATTATCACGTGTTAATTTGATATTTAGAGTAAAAGTTGTTACTGTGTCTTTACTACAATTAATTATTTGCCGTACTAAAAAACTGCCATAAGCATTTTAGAAACATGAACCTCGTGACTCTGGAGGGTCTTTCCAGTAAAATGCAACTAAAGAGCAATCTTTCCTAAAATCAAGGGGACATACAGCTTTTTAAAGTTGCATTTGAATCTTCCCATTGGAGAGTCTGCTGAATGATCACCTATCTAAATGACCAGTAGTCATGCTACTGGAGTAGTTGACTAGTTTATCTCCTTTAACAAAGTCTTCAGCTCCTGGAACTTGATAAGCCCTCAGTTGGGTATTTATGCTATCCTTAAATCATAGGAATTACACAGGAGCCCATAGAAGTGTTAGAAAAAGCAGTGCCATAATCCTCTTAGAACTTTCATTCAGCTTGCTTCCTTGATGGTAACCTGTTGGATCCCCATAGATGATGAGCAGACCATAGGTGGTCTTTCTTAAAGCTTTGCATTTATTGAGTTATTGATTTTACAGAGCAATATTGTCAAACTTTATAAGGCTCCTAAAATGTCTGACAAGTATTTAAAACCTGATTTTAAAAAAAAAAAAAAATCAATCTCTAGTGAAAATTCCTAAAGTGCACTGTAAAATACAGTGTAGTTGCTACCCTCTCCTCAAAACTGCTTTGTCTTCCTAGACAGAAAATTTAATTTCCTAACAGTGGATACTCCAGTTTGGTCCCCTGAACCACACTTGAGCTGTATGTCTAAACTAAATGTTGATACCTTCCAAAATTTCATCTCCACTGTTTTTAAGCAGTGCAACTCAAAACATAATCATCAAACTATTAATTATATGATTTTTTTTTTTAATTAGGAAATTGAGTCAACATGAATCTTACTGTTCGTACATCTTATGTGAACTGTAGCCAGACCAAACTGTGTTAGACAGTGGCTGTCAGAGCACTGTCAGGGCAGGATGGTTTTTTGTAAGCTGAAACAGAGACAATAACCAGGATCTTTCATCATTTCCTTTAAATAGTCCCACAGAACTTAGTGTCTGAAAATCAGTCCCACCGAAATCAGTGTCTGAACCTCTACAATGTATTTAACACCAGTTAAATTCAGAATTTTCTCATTAACAGACTATTCCAGAAACCTGAAGAAATCCTTTAATCCTTCAGTTCCAGCACTCAGCCTGTCTGTATTGAACTCCCTAGCTAGTGCTTTCCTTTACACAGCACTGTCCTCTTGTTGCTTTGCCAGTACGTATCACTTGCATCTTGACTTCTGATACTCAGAACTCTTACGCTTGAGAAGTGGCTTTTCTTGGATTGAGTGATTTCCTGGTAAAAAATAGCAAATGCTTTTTGCTCTTGAAACTCGTTTGATCTCTTTCTTCACCTACATTTGAAAACTTTGAGTATTAAGCAAATGGAATTGTATCAGGTAGTTTGGGCCCTAAGTTTTCATAATAGTCACGTTGCATTTGTGCTTATTATTGCTAAGAGGCAAGTGATCTTAAAAACTTTCCTGGTGAAAAGAACCCTAGATAAGGAACTAAAAACAAACACCAAAACTTGTGACAGGACAGAGACAGCAATATTCCAGTGGTGAAACAAGCAGACTATCTGTTTAAACTGTTCTCAAGAACAAATGATTGCTCAGTACTGACAATCCTAACCATCCTGTGAAGCTGCCTTTTCACTTTCATCTTTGTTTCCTTTCCTGTCCTTCTTTATGTACCTTCTCCTGTGATTGTTTCTTGACCACTGCCTTTTGGTCTGTTCAACAAGCCATTGGCAATTTCTACCAAGAATACAAAGAGATATGTTATTACATGTAGTATGTCATGGTTCTGAAGGGGAAAAAAGGAGCAAAGGGGTCTTCATCTTGTCATAACTTGAGGGAGGCTGAATAGCTATGTATAATTTTATCACTTGTAAGGCTTACAGTCATACCTGCTTCCAGTGGGTTGGACAGAAGGTGCGTAATAGAGACATTCTCAATACTCCATGGCAGGAGGAATATTCAGTAGGTACTTGGCAGTTACAGAGACATCTTGGGAAACATGCACTTCTATCTCAACAGTTGGCTGACTGAAATCAGTTCCCAGGACAATCAAGTCTTTCATCAAGTTCTTGACCTATTTGCCAAACTGAGTTTCATGGTAAATGATGAAAAATGATCTCTGAAGATCATATACACTTGAATACCACTGAAGATAATAAACAAATGGGAATCCTATTAAATTCACATTCAGCACTGGCTTATTTATGAAAATACAGACTGAAATCTTACGGTAATTCTGCTGAATTTAAGGGTAAGGTGACAGTGTAGCAGAAAATGCTGATGTTTGCCGATACCCAGGTTTACTGCAGTTGGCAAGAACTATGTTCTCCTCTTCCAAGCATCAGCTAAAAATGATGGCTGCTACTTTTTCCCAGGTTATATCAGAAGTCACTCTATAACTGAACTGTGGCATATGACTGACTTTCTTGTCTCTTCCTTATAGCTTGGAACTTGAGAACTTCTCTTACTATAAAGAGGAAAAAGATTAACCCCACAATTTTAGAAAACACACGAGTTTTCAGAGTGCTACCACCTGTCAGTAGTGGTCCTACTGGCTAAGCACGTTGTGCGCCCGTGTTTAGCCACTGGCGCCACATCCACTTTGCAGACATTTTGAGAGGGAGCAAAATAAATACGAGTTCAAGAATTTAGCATGTACTATATTTTATACTAAAAGAGACAGTACCTAAAAATCTGTTTGTGCACAGCAGAAAAAGTAGAATTAGGACCATCTGCTCCAGGAAAAGCATGGCTCAGAACCTCTGGCAATGCCTTCTTTGTCAGAAGTTCCAAGATTTGTTTTATGTCATTCCCACAATTGCTGTGATTTCCAAGATAATATTCAGCAGCAGGAAGTCAGGGCTGCTTTGTCTGTCAAACTTGCTGCATACATCCAGATAGGCTGCCATATACATTCCCAATTTCCTGGACATTGTGCTCTGCCCCGTGGCAGAAAGACACAGAAAGCTCTAGTTGGCAAATTGAGCCTGGGGAGAGGAAGCCTCTGTTAAAAAAGAAAAAGTTTTCCATATCGCTGCACAAAATACAACCTCAGAGATGTGCCAGTTTAAAGAATTCTGTCCAGCCTCCTGCACTTAAAACAGACTAGATGATTATTTGACTCCTTCAATACGCAGCTGGCAACAATGTCCATCTCATGCATTTCAAACCCAATTCCCTTTGGTGATGCCATGTTTCTGTGTTACTTTCAAGACCATCTTTCCCTGTCACCATGATATAAACAAGGAGATAAAGATGTAAACCACCATACAAGCTGGACAAGCCAACAGATGCGGTGATGAAAGGGGAAAGTTGCAGTGATACTATAATTCCTTATTGATGGTCAATTATTCTATAACAATAACCTTCCCCCAGAACACATGCCAAACATTTAGAAATACATATATATATATATGTTTATTGTGGTCCCTGAAGAATACTCTAATCCTCACATAAATTTTTTTTCACTTGAGATGGAACTGAGTTAGAATTACCTTCAGGCTTTGCTGTGTGCCTGTGAATGAACACACAGAGGTAGACAATATGCTAGCGAGCAGGCAACTGTTTAGTAAAACAATTATAATCCCATGAGGAAGGGTTGCACGGGTACCTTCAGGGACGTCAACATTGACTGCAGTTTGTAAAAAGCTGGAGCCAGAAGGGATAACTGTCCTCTTTTTACAACTACCATGTCTATCTCTCTGTTTGCATGTCCTAGTTGAAACAAATATATTTAAACTGACATTTTCCGATATTATTTCTTTTCAGCTATTGATCTGATAAATAATTTGTTGCAAGTGAAAATGAGAAAGCGCTACAGTGTGGACAAAACGTTAAGCCACCCATGGTTACAGGTATTGCTACAAATTCCATGTTTTTTCCTATGTATTTAGGCTCTAAGTGTATAACAAATTTTCATCTTTAAGCACAGTAGAATCTAAGCAAATCTACAAACTTGAAGATGTTTACAGATCCTGAGAACCTCATACTCCTTCACCAATTTGCCTATAGATCCTAATTAATTTCTGAAGTATTATATTCCAATACTAAACTCTCTCATGTTTTCAAAATACATTACAAAGTATTTTATCTTGTTTGTCCACTGAGAACATGGTGTATATTAAAAAAATACTTATAGTCATTTGACTTACATTATCTCATTGCCTGATTCACTTCTTATTGCAACTAGTCAATAGGCTTTCAATTCTCAGTCATCAGAAGGACTAGTGAAGTTGTATGCTTTCCAGGAAAATACATTAGCCACCTTCAATTGAAATCTTCAAATAAAAACTGAAATGTTAGGAATTTTTGAGATGCTAGCTGCCACTGTCTTCTGCTCGTCATATGGTAATATTTTTATCCTGGCAGCAGCCAAATCACTGCAAGTTAAAGACCTAACATGGAATTAGTGCAGTGAGCAGCCAGGGCCCGTCCCACCGCCCCCAGCCAGGGAGCAGGGCACACAAGGGGCAGCCCCCGGCCGGGGCATTGGGCCCCTCCCTGGGGACAGGGACTGGCTGAGGCCAGGCTGCGACATCAGCCCACGGGATCTCCCAAGGGATCCACATTTGCATCTAGGAAAGTAATCATGGCACAGGCATGGCACAGGTGAGATGTGTAATCCACAATCCCAAAGGAATCTTTATCCAAACTGGAAACTGGCTCCTACTCCAGTACCTTATAGTTGCAACTGTTTCTCAAAGTTGAGGGTGACCTGCTGAGGAGGAAAAGGGCTGCAACATCCCACCCTGCACCTATCTTCCCCCAGGGACATTTCTCCTGGGCTTGCTTTCTTCCTTCCATATTTCCAGTCACTCTCCAGTCTTTTTCTCCAAGACTGCTCTGCTCCCTGGAAACCATTGCAGAACATTTGTCTGAGCCTTTAGGGGCCAGAGAGGTGATCTGGGCTAAGGTCTGCAGCAAGTATGCTGGCTGTCTCATGATGGGACAGAGTCCTTCACCTCTCCATATCCACTCTTATTGCTTGTGCAATAGCAAGTGGAGGTGAGCTAAGGGGAGGCAGTACAGCAGCAGCTCTAGCACCGTGGATGACATGAGTCCTCTTTCCAGAAAGAGCCCAACCCTGTGGGCTAAGGAAAGATAACATTGGTGCAGGGCAGTGAGACTCGGAGATGACTTCTGAAAGGATGTCTGTGTAAGAAGTGGGCCAAAGGACAGGAGATACTAAGGATGAAGGCTTTCATGCATTTACAGTGCAGGGCCTTTCTGGTGCTTTGGCTAGGTGACCAGGGTTATGTCTTGTGTTGAGACAAGGTGAAGGAGAAAAAAGAAAACTAGATACGTGAGCAGAGATTAGTCTGCATGGGGCTAGGATTGGCTTTATTACTGCAGTTTCGTGTATGCTTTGAGTGAGAATATGCAAAGAAATTATTAAAGTTGAGATATACTTTAGGCAGATCAGAGGCTGCAGAGCATGATGATCGGAACAGCATGAGAACCAAACCAGTTTCCAGCCTTACTGTTGACTGTCGACATGGACTTCCGAAGTACCTTGATATTTAGATGTATATGTCTCTTTGAGCACACCGCCTAAGTTTGGAAAAGCAGATTTTTTTCTAGCTCAAGCTGTGTTCATATCCTGCACCATTATAGTGACATGGAGCAACTCTCTTGACTGTCTGATACAGATCACTAGGATGTACGTGTCTCTTTCTTCTTCCTTATTTGTCCTGTGACGAGTGTAAGGAATTATTTTACCACCCATACCTCATTTAGATACTATGGAAATCTGTGGACTATCCATACATTCTGCAAAACAACCTGTAACATCTCCATACTATATTTATGACAGAGTTTAATGAAATTAATGTATTAAACAATCCTCTAGACATGAAGCATATCTCTATAGGCAGATTTCATATTTATTAATTATAAGATTTTTCCATTCTGGAGCAATAGGAATGCAGGACCTTTAGATTGCCAAATTAATACCACTTTGCATATTATTTGTAGTAGAAAGGAATGTCATTTATTTTAGGAAATTTAAAACTAATACTGTTATTCTATTTCAGGACTATCAAACCTGGTTAGATTTAAGAGAACTTGAATGTAAAATGGGGGAACGTTACATCACCCATGAAAGTGACGACTCCCGATGGGAACAGTATTCGGGAGAACATGGATTGCAGTATCCAGCACACCTTATCAGTCCCAGTGCTAACCATAATGAAAACACCAAGCTAGAAGAAACAGAAATGAAAGCCCTCAGTGAGCGTGTCAGCATCCTTTAAGTTGCATCCCCTATAATCTGTCAAAACACTGTGGAATTAATAAATACATACGGTCAGGTTTAACGTTTGCCTTGCAGAACTGCCATTATTTTCTGTCAGATGGGAACAAAGCTGTTATGCTGTTACACTGTTGATGTATCTGAGTTGCCAAGACAAATCAACAGAAACATTTTTGTGTGACCAACTGTGTTGTATTTACAAAAGTTCCCAGAAACACTAAACTTGTTATTGTGAATGCTTCATGTTGTATTTAATGTATTAAAACCTGTCTCCACGGTGCCTTTGCAAACTAGTGTTTTTCTTACTCGAGCTTCATTTTGGTAAGAGAGAACTTTCCCATGAAGATCTGGGGGTTTTTTGGTGCATCGTTAGTATTGTAATTGTAACCAAACTCTTGAAGAGTAGATTATAACTGCTGTTCTGTGAACAACTTCTACCATTTGGATAAAAGCTTTATTTAGTGTTGAAAAAATAGAAGAAGCAAAAAATAATGAATTGCATAGCACTGTACAGTTTCAAATCAGATAACCCGTGTATGTGTGTTTGTGTATGTATATAAACACACGCGCACACAATAACTTGATCTTAAGCCTAAATGCCTTAGTAATGTATACTGCAGCATGTTGGTTGTATTTCCCTTTTTCTTAAAATATTCTTCTCTAATATGAATATTCTCTAATCTGTACATTCAGAAGCTAAATAACTTGTTGACTTTGTGTATGTTTTCAATAAAAGGCTTGTTAAAATGGGTTCCTTTGATTAATCTTTCTATTTAAAATATCCCTAAAATGGATCAGAAGTAGGTGGGAGAAGATTAGTTAATCATTGAGGTGGAGGTAGGTAGGAAAATGCTGCAAGCTAACCTGTGTACCTATAAAACTCACTTTGTAAGAACATACTTCGATGATTTTACATCATAAGTTCAATCAGGTTTGAAACATACTGGGGAAGTTGAGTACACTGATTTTGCTCTAGCGAAACTAATGGGAATTTATTTTTTAAAGAAATGTGCTGCTTCTGCTTTTCCACCGAGTTCTATTAAACTGATCTACTGATCAAATCTTGACTTTATGTTACAATCATGAGCTTTTCATCAGATAAATCCATTCTTTCCTCGAAGAAGAGCTTTGTCCAGAGGAAGTTTATGCCAGATACATAACATGACCAAAGTCAGCAGAATTTTACTTATTTTGCACCTCTTCTGGACAGATAGCATGTACTGTAGAAGAAATGAAGAAAAGGCACCTTTATTCAAACAGAATGTCCTGGTTTCAGCCAGGATAGAGTTAATTTTCTTCATAGCAGCTAACATGAGGCTGTGTTTTGGATTTGGGATGAGAAACTGTTGATAACGTGCTGATGTTTGCTGAGCAGTCAAGGACAGTCCAGCTTCTGGTGCTGGCCTGCCAGCGAGCAGGCTGGGGGTGCCCGGGGAGCTGGGAGGGGACACAGCCGGGACAGCTGACCCAGGCTGGCCAAAGGGGTATTCCATACCATATGACGTCATGCTCAGTATATAAAGCTGGGACAAAGAAGAAGGAAGGGGTGGAGGGACGTTCAGAATGATGGCGTCTGTCTTCCCAAGAAGCCATTAAGCGTGATGGAGCCCTGCTTCCCTGGAGAGGGCTGAGCACCTGCCTGCCCATGGGGAGTGGTGAATGGATTCCTTGTTTTGCTTTGCTTGTGTGTGCGGCTTTTGCTTTACCCATTAAACTGTCTTTATCTCAGACCATGGATTTCCTCACTTTTACTCTTCCAATTCTCTCCCCCATCCCACCGTGGGGGAGTGAGTGAGAGGCTGTGTGGGACTTAGTTGCCGGCTGGGGCTAAACCACAACACAGGAAAAATTATATTTTATAGAAAAGAAAAACGTATGGTGAAAAATTACTTACTAATCTCTTCTTCTTCCTCCCCACCTCCTTTCCCCTACTCCCACTGGCAAAAAAGAAAGATATCTGTTCAAGATCAGAAATCCTTTTCCACTTCAGCTGGACCCTGAGGAAGCTCTCTGATAACACCAGCCTTGTAACATGTTCTGAAACAGCTCTGGTTGGGCAGAGTTCGAATGTGTTGACTTTTCTGGCATGCTGTAGTGTCTATATTTTCAGTCAGGACTTTCCTACAAGGCTAAATTTGGCTAATCATTGGCCATTGTTTCTTTTCATTCAGCCTCATTCTTAATCTTAAATGACATATAAAACAGACATAAAAATATACTCAGGCTGATTATCAAATTTCTGTCAGTAAAAGTGTATATGTGTATTTAAAAGCAAGTCCATTTAAAGGTGCAGTGGTGGACTCATGGATATATAAAGATTCTATTCTGTTCTTCAGCAACTCTAGGAGTCAAGCCAAATTAACTTTTCTGAAAGGAAATTGAGGCAAATTATGAGAATCATATAGACTTTGTTCAGATGCTGATACCATGACTGTTCATAAGGAGCCATGACCTCACAGAAGTGCCTTAATTTTGTTTTCTCCTTCCTCTGTGTTAACCAGTAACACATTTAGAGCTCTGCTTTCATACTGATCAGTTTAGGTGAGTCAGGTTTTTATTAGTGGCTTGTTTTTATTTGCAGTTAGTGTACCAACTCTTGAGCAAAGGTAATTTTGAACGACACAGTTCTCAAAAATACCAAATACCGTACTGGCACTGTTCTCAAGCATGGACAGTAGTCAGGAGATTAAAAGAGAAAGCAGACTACTTTACAGCTTGCAATGGCATTGCTAAGAAGCTAGATGACGAAACTAAAAGCAGTACAACTTTTAATGAAGGAAGGACATCGAGTATTTACACTAAACCCCATCATCTGTGGATTTCTGGCATAACAATGCTTAGCGTGCACAGTGGTTTGCTAAATGCAGACCTATGTTGATAAACATATTTCATCTCCTGGAGCACTTTTGATAACTGTCTGCCAACAGAGCAGAGATGAAAGTATAAATAAATTACTAGTCTGAGACGCTTTCTGACTATCTACTAAACATGACTTCAGAGGAACTTCTATTTTATTACTGGGGGCATATTATACTTTTTTTCCTCCCCATGCCTGTTTTTTTGAGCACTGAAGCTTGCTTCGTCTCTTTAAGGAACTTGTGCAAATATTCATTGCTTTTCTAAAAATCTGCCATTGGCCAATATGATAAGTCAAAATTTTCCCTGCTGCCGTTCAAAAATGTTGCACTGTGAAATTTGAACTGTTTGTAGTTCAGCCAGACAGATGAATTCACTGATTCCTAACTCTAAGCCTGAATGGAAACTTGCTCTTCCAGATACATCAGCATCAAAGTGTACTGAAGCAAATCTGGGATTGTGTCATCCTACATGATTTTCCTTCACTTGTTTTACTCAGGGAAAAGGAATGGTAGGCTTCTCTGTAGTAATGTTTCCGTGGCCTTCAGATTTTCCATTAGGCCAATAGTTCCTGCTCATGCATCACGGAAACAAAATGCAACAATAGTCATGCTACATATAAATATCGACCTGAGGATCTCTTGATAATATTTTTTCTGTTGTGCTACTGCGTATCATATGCCTATCAAGCACATATGTGTACACATGATCATACGTCTGTAGCTATGTTTATTGTGTCAAACCTTGGCTGTACAGTGCAGAGAAGTAGCCAACACGTACTTGGAAGCTAAAACTTCTGATTTTTGTTAAGTTGCCACTTTCTCTTCTACCATCTTTATTCCTTCAGATACACTTTCTTTATCCACTGTCTTGTGCAGGCAGTTTAACTAACTCAGCAAATAAAGTGAGCAAAAAGTATGCGCTTGTGCAACTTGTATAGCTCAACTGTCAGGCTGCTGCTCAGCCACGTGCTACTATCCATCCACACCTTCACCTTGTAGGACAGAAGGGATACCACATCAGCCTCCTTGTTCTCAGCTTAGCAGGATCTCTTCAAAACTAGTTGGATATTCTGCCTTCCTCTTTTTTTCCTCCTCCCTCTTCTTTCCCCTCTGCACCTCACTACTGAAAAGCCTTCCTAGAATCTCATTTCTCCAGTGGCTAGAAAGTTGTAAATCCTGACTTCATGGCAAGGCAATAACCCTCTGTTTTTTTGTGTCAACAATAGTTCTTTTTTGTTTGAGAGGTTAAACCAGGTTATTTATTTTCCATTATTGGATAAACCAACACATTTTCTGCACACCTGAATTTATCCTGGACAACGAAGTCACAGAGGTGACATGGAAAATGCTAATAAGCTGAAAAAAACCCAAAAACCTTACTGGACTAAGGGGAACACATACTTGGCATCCCATGAAATTAAGGAGGAAGGAAGAAAAAAAGAAAACTCCTGTGGTAATGTTAAGAGTGAATTGCTAGGCAGGTTAAGCCCGATATACTACTTCAGTCCATAAGACACAGCGAGAAAGATCGGAGTTGAGTAATTATGGATTATGGTGCAGTTTTATTCAGATAGGTCTACCAAAATACTGACATCCTGGAAAAGCTCTGCTTCATGCAGATAAACAGAGCCCTGTCCCTGTCGCTGTGCAGCATCCCAAACTTTGCTCAATTTATCACTTTCCCAGAGATACTAATTTTTTTCTTCTTTTTTTTCCCCAGAAAGATAGGGTATAATTTATTCTAGCAACAAAGGAAGCCAGCCACATACTGCACCGGCCACCTCCTATCTCATGACCAGACCTATCACATCTGAACCAAAAGTCTCATATTCCCAGGGTTTACTGTGCACCTGCCAGATGGGAAAGAGCTCAACCAGATCAAATGTAACCAGGTCAAACCAGAGGAACCGACTTGGCAGATCAGTTACTTTTCAGTGGTGACAAATTTGACACCTGCATGGTATGTGGAGTTTGTCCTTGGTTTTTGCTTAGCTCATTCCTAACTGGAGCAACTGAATGCTGAAATCACGGTCCACTGGGTGAGCTAATATTTGCCTGTGCTTCTCACTGAAGCTTTGCTTTGCTGAGGTGAAGAACAGGGAGCACATGTTATAAGAACTGTAAGTTATTTTGCTGCCTTACTAAGCACATCTACAAACTTGAACATCAGCTGTTTACAAATAAGAATTTAAGAAAAGTTTACTTATGTTTTGGACTGAAAAGTTGCTATTTTGAAAGGTCCCATGAAATGAAATATTTTCCTTGGGCATCTAAGCACTAAGGTGCTTCACCCTAAAGCATCTAGCTCTGCTGTGAGTCTGGAGGGCCTGAGGCCTCATGCTGCACAAGTCTGCCAGGCAGGGTGCCAACCAGGGGAGCCACAAGGAAAACAGGCACGATGAAAACGTGCCTTTAAGGCAAATACTGAAATCTGCAGAGCACAAGTGTGCTGCCAAAGTTTGACAAAAATTGGCAGATTCTGTTGAAGCATTTCTATCCAGACAAACTCTTTTCCAATATGAATTTACGATACATTTGCCAACTGTAACTTAAATAGTTTCCGATATAACTTCCAAAAT